GGTGCATGCTTAAGTATCTGTTATAATAGTTAATAGTTACTTATAAAGTCTTAAACAGGTTATGAAATTACCAATATATTTTTCCCATATTACACATATAATTTTTCGCACCTAGATAAATGTTTTCTTTCATTTATTCCCTAAATTTGAAAAAAATCTCAACTAATTGTATGCTACCAACCCCAAAGTTTCAAACTCATAAGTATTCCTAATTTGCAACAAATAGCCGAAAATGCTCCTGCGAGCGAAAGACACTCACCCCAAAAGAGAGTATCTGAATAAACGAAAAAACTTTGACACTTTTCCAATCAAATTAACTCTGGCAAGCGCTTCGAAATACGCCAATGATCCGTTGATGATGGGTCAGAAAACTTTTTTCACTTAAACTATTACTTACGTACTTCCCGGGTGGAACTTTCATATACAAACACACATCAAATATCCGTGTGCATGTGTGCATAGCGCCAACCACAAAATGTTCCGCCAAAGTAGTAAAATTCGATTAACTGGCCAGCCCACAAGCGACCATAATGTGTGGGAGAGTGTCGCCTGGCCATCAACAAATGGAAGGCGCTAGCGTCATGTGGCCCACTTAACGGATAACTACGGCCCTGATGATGACATACGCGTTGCCACACATACATATATAAATGTCGATGAATGTGGAACCACAGGCAGCGCGGCATGGCACGGAAAATACGGAATTGTTGTCGGTGCGAAGAGTGGATAAAAGTAGTAGGGGCCGTGTATTTGCATGGCGTAGAGAGAAATTTTCATAAAACTGCAACTAGCTTTTTATATATGAATAAAGCATATTAAGTCCGCCATGAGGGATACGTTGCAGACCCTATAAAGTATGCATATGTATGTATATAAATGATCAGCATGAAGAGCAGTGTCAATTTAGACATGTCCGTCAGTCTTAGAGTTATCTCTCTGAAATTTTGCACTTTTCTTTTCCGTCTCAAGAGCTTCTTATTTGTTGGAATCAGCGATATCGAACCAATAGAGCATATTGGCGCTATACGAACTGATTAATTAAAATGCAGTGTATAGAAAACTTTTCTGTTTGATACGATAACTTCATGCAAATTTTTCAGATCGGAATTATTTGTGTACAGAACGTGACATGTCGGCGCTGCATTGTAGTTGCTTTTGTACTTATATTTTTGCTCTAGTTTCCAGGAAATGAATATAAAAATGACACAATGAGTTTGTGTATTTTCAGACTTTAAGGCCAAAATAGTCATCGAAAGTTGCAATAGAAATATTGCCGGAAAATATCCATTTGATGAAAAAACATCCAATTACGACAGATTTGGAATTTCGCAAACTCTACAACAATATTCATTGTGAGTACTGCGTTTCCCCACAAAGAAGTAAGCAAAGGGATATAAAAGATACTCGGAGGCAAGAACGTTAGATTAAAATTACGAATTAAGCCCGCAAACCTGTTAAAAAACAAAGAAATTAAAAGAACACAAGGTAGCAAACTAGGAGAACTCGCGATCAAAAGCAATAAAAGCTATCTGACAACATCCAAGAAGAATGAAAAATGTTCGACGAAATCGTGAATGGATTACAATCAAATTTGGTATCTTTAAGTTATATTAAAGGTATAGGCAGTTCATTTTATTACTATATTTTACTTCGCGTCATCCTCAAAGAGGCAAAATACAATATATTGAGTTGATATTGAAAACTCCAACTAGAGATATACTAGAGATACTAGAGATATGAGGTTTGCACCAAAGTCGAGACTGATTTCATCCATATTCAGCGCTAAGTCATGTAAATAGCAATATAAAAGTAAGGTTTTGTAGTGATTTATGTATTTATTGGTGCTAGATTTGTGTACTGGAAAGTGAAAGAATCAGATGGAATTTAAAATTGTATTAATTGTTGTTGTGATTCGATTTCGTCAAATTTCACACGATGATATTGAAATGTCGGGATAACGTTATGCACTGAATTTCATTAAAATTGGTCTAGTAAGTCCGTAGATATGTGATTACATTTAATGGTTGGCAGTGTCCAATTTTGACAGCGGTCCCTATTAATGTGGAGTTAGAGCGAAACCAGCTTATAAAAGCTGAGAATGTTATACGCTTTATCATAGCTCAACGAAAAATATGGTTCGCTTTTTCAATAAGAGCTCTAGATATTTTTTAAATAAAACAAAGACGGTTGAAATTCTTCCATTTGGTCTCAAAATTATTTAAAGTGATTTTATGAATGAAAATTAATATAAATGCATGATTGAATATAATAATGCAATGTATTAAAATAAAATGAGTAATAAAGAGCTAATTTCGGGTCCAACCGAATATTTTATATTAAATATATTTGAGTAGGGGATAATATCGACCAGATTTTATATATTTTTGCTCATCCCACGTACTACTAATATGCCATATATTCCAAAAATGTTCCCTGAGTTTCATTAAGATATCTTATGTACAATCACCAATCATATGAGCAAGGTCAAATGGATGTTCGAAAATCTTGGTAATAGTTATCTGGAAGAAGGGTCAAGTTTTCGCCCAAATGCATCTATTTTAGGCGCAAAGATACACTTTTATGAATAAAACATGTTCTGCAATTTTCATTGAGTTGGTTCAAATATTGGCGTATACATCCATAAGTTGAAAAATCTATATTTTAGGTATATGTATGTCTGCTACTGCCAATTCCCACCTGATTCAACCCATTTTTGATGCAAAGAAATAATATTGTCAGGAACAGATTCTGTCTGAATTTCTATTGCATGTCTCACATAATGACCGACATTTTCGATCAAAAGTCAACTATGGGTACTGGAGTCCACATATTCGGTACCTATGTTCTTGAAAATTTTTGGTTGGATTTGGACAATTTGGACAAAAGGTAACGTACTTTAAGGGAATTATTACCGCAAAATTGTATTCCGTTTTATTAATTACTTCTTAATTTCTATACTGGAAAGTGAAAGAATCAAATGGAATTTAAAAGTGTGTTATATGGGAAGTAGTTGTGATTTTAGTCCGATGTCCGATACTCATTTTCCCACTGTGAGATAGATATATTAAAGAATATGACATACTAAATTTCGTCGAAAGCGGTGAGTCTTGTCCCGAGATATGGGATTTCACCAATAGGTGTTCGGTGCCACGGGCATTGTCCACTTTTCACACCGGCTCCGATAGAGCCACCTTATACCATCTATATACCACCCGTCTAGAATAATTTAGCGGGATTTCAGTATTTAATTAAAAAAATAAATAAAGCAATACTCATTTTAAGCAAGTGACGAACCTAATTCAACGCGTTTTTTTTTTTTTGTTTTTTTTAAGGGAGGGAAAGATGAAAGTGTTTAAGCTTATACGTTAAGTACAAACCTTGTAGTTTACTAAGAAAAATAATTTATAGCACGACCTCCCCTGACACTACAACAAGAGCACTAATTTCTAAAAAAATAAAAAAAAAATTGTTTTTTTAATGATTCATTGTTTTCCCAAAAAAAATAATACATTAACTAAATTAATATTTACTTTATAATCAATCTTTATAATCAATTAAATACATACTAGGTTGTCCAGAATCTATAAAAAATATTTTCTAGAATTCAGTTCAAGCAACACAAAAAACCACTTGCAATTTCGAGAACAACAGAGAGTGTCGCGGATAAGAACGTGCGTACTGAACGAAGTCTAGGCTCCGACTACTGGTGTGCCAATATAGCGGGCTGAAGGTCAACAATGTAATCTGTTTATATTAGTACGGTTACTTAGGCACTAAAAAAAATAAATTTTGTCCGTTTTTTTGAAGGAAAATGCTCCTATGTGCGACATTCCATAAACCGCACCAAACCATATTTTTTCATGACTCATGGAGTAGGTATGGATTGCTGCCTGACCAGTAACGCATATTTTGATTACACAGTACAACAGCTAATCTGGGGGGGGGAGAAATTCCAAGTCAGGGTGATGGTACTAGGGCAGTATAGTAAAACCCTCAAAGGGTTTGGCGTTCGTATGTGTCAGTTTTTTTGTATGACCTTATGACCCCTTTTTTCCTTATCACGAAGTTTCACAATTAAATCCATCATTGCTTTTTGCTTTTCCCTGAATACACGTGACGATCAGTTGTTGATTGACCGGGGAACAAATGACATTTGATGTCATTCCACTTGGGATTGCACGTGAATGTTATGAACAGATCCGGTCTGACGTAATGGCGCCCATACGACATCGCATCTTGCGCATAGTCGTGCATATGGCGCGGACTGCCGATGTATGCGGCTGGCAATATTGTCAGACGTCCAATGCTATTCACATTTGCAATTTGCATCATACATTACGGCATCTTTCAAATGGATGTACTCTTCAGCACGCAATTTAGCTTGGTTGAATCGAATAAAGTTGACACGTTCGGTGTCGATCTTCGCATACATGTCAACCAAATATTGATGGAAAAGCTTGCGACATTCCAGGATGTAGTTGTCTTCTTGCGGACGAATCATTATTCTGCACGAATAGAAGTTCATCGCATTGAGTTTTTTCGGTGTTTCTTGGCCTATAAATGAACAATACACAAAATATTGAATCGTAAGTAACATTTCTTCTTAGAAATTGTACGTTTTTACCAGTAGTTGGATTTATCAATCGCATATTGATGTGATCACCTCTCCAGAATAATATCGCATACTGTAATGCATCATAACTACGGTGTAGCTCGGAAACATGCTGAAGTTGTTCGTTTCTACGGTGCAATACAATATGTCGCGATTCAAACTGTTCGCCAACAATGACGATTGCCATCTCATCGATTGTTGGTGCATTGAATCGTCTGGCATGCTGCCCCATCGGCATTTTGTCTGCTCTGATGCCGATTCGATGGTTATCAGACGGTATGCGGTCCAATGCGATTTTGAACAAACGAATCAATTCATTGTGTTCATGGAGAAATCTTTGCAAATTTAGTACGATTTCTCGCCTTGTGCCGGTCGCAATTTTGCATCGTTAATTTAGTTGGTCAGTTTCATTACCGATGAAATATATTTGCAAAAATTGATAGTCGGCATCGGCAAATGGTATGAGCGAGCCTGCTCGTTGGTATATTTGCCCCTGAATCTGTAGAATACAAATGTCAAATGTTTCACTGGAAATTCCATGCAAAGTAATCACCTTGAATGTCATAAATGGATCTCTAATGATCTTTGTGGCACCAAAAGAAAGCATGGCATTCATTTGAAAGCATGAATTGTATGCTTGTATGTTCTGAAAGAAATGCTTAGACGTCGGCGATTCTCCAGTGAGCAAGGAATGTAATGGTTCTGGTGGCGGTTCCAATGCGGGCAGTTTCACTTTGCCACTGGAGCAGCACATGCCAGCTGTTTCTTCTCGAAACATCGCTGCCATTGCTATCCTATCCATTGCTCCAATGAAATATTTCATTGAAATCGGGCAAGCCGTCTAGGAGGAGTATGCGAACAGGAAGTTTTGCCACTTAATTTTATATATATAGATATGGGAGCTAAGGGAAGTATTGGTTCGATTCAACTCATTTTTGACCTACAGACATACCATTATAAGATAAGGATTATTCCATAATTGTAATTATAAACCTCCCACATTGACCGAAATTTTCGATCAAAAGTCAACTACGGATACCGGGGTCTACAAAAGCTATCCCGTACAATTTCGGTGGTAAAATGTCTCCAGCGTATTTAGTTATTGGTTTATCGCGCTTTTGATTTACGCCCATCTACGAACGCGAAATTTATTTTGTACTAAGGAACCCATATTTCATATATATATTTTTCAATTCAAGTTTCAGCTTTTACGGACGGACGGACAGACAGATAGACAACTGGATTTCAACTTTTCTCGTCATCCTGATCATTTATATATATTATATATAACCCTATATCTATCTTTCTTAGTTTTAGGTAATACGTACCACCGTTAGGTGAACAAAACTAAGATACTCTATAGCAACTGGTTGCAAGAGTATAAAAAGGAATAAAAAAAATAATAATACCAGGTGTATATCTTAGAGGATCTACATTTATATCGAAATGTGAGAAAAGTTACCGGCCAACGGTTTGCATCCAACAGAAAACGTTTTGATAGTTCTTTCTAGCCATAAGCAATCTCCAAGCTATAATAAGGGTCCTTCATATGAAAAGCAGATTTTTCATGAAGATCTTTATCTTGATCGGTCAGTTTGAATGACAGTATAGTTATATGATCTGATCCGAACAACGACGGCAATTTTAACAGCGCCGTAAGGGTTATTAGTGTGTAATCTCTAACCCTTTTCAGAAATCGCTTTTGAGCTGAGATACTTCGAAAAAAAACTACGCAAAGCTTTGATTGCTACTACATTGCATAAAGAGGACCAACCATATAACTGAGTGACCCAAGCGATGATAAAAACAGTGAGGTGTTTAGTTCTTTGTTAGTGCGGCGTTGTGTGGTATCAATTGAACGCCCACCACGCTGCAGCATGACGCAGAGTGGTAATTTTTATGTGAGCATACCACAGAGCACTCATGCCAGCGCCAAGTAGTCAACCAGAGCACTAATGTGTGCCCCAAATCTTACAAAAACAGCCTGCAGTGTAAACAGTTGAGAGGCGGCCTCGTCCTAGGCCTCTGTGCTTACCAACACAGCGCTTTGTTTGAATGCAGTTCACAGTTGTAGATGCCAACCATGGGCATGGTTTCTGCCGCTGGTATATCCATTACGGCATTAGTTTCTTTGTTGTTGCAGTATTATGTAGCCTGGCCTGAGCAGCACGTTGCCTTTTCGACTCAAGTGTGATGCCCTCAATGTAGTTCAGCGCCATCAATTCTCCCGCCGCCCCACGCTGGGTGGGCTGGTGAAATCCATGAGAGCAGAGGGTTATTGCGGCAAATAATGCAACGTAAAGTTACAACGCCATACAAAGCAACTGAATATTATGAATAGTCGGAAGTTCCAAAACAAAATGGCACGGATAAACATTGTCAAGCGACCAAAGCCAGCTGTGGGTGTGTGGGGAATTTGTGATGAACTAGAAAATAATTCAAAATGGCGAAATGGAGGAAAGTGAATAGAACAGCGAATTACAATAAGAATATCAAAGCAGCAGTTAAAACACAAACGAACAAAGCTTCAGGTACGGGAATTACTAGACAGTGAAATAAAAGAAACGTATAAAAAAAATAATACTTACGATCTGTAAAATTTAGTACAGTTTTGGTAGAGTTTCCCTTTCAAACTCCGGTGTGCATTTGGATGTGTATTGCAAATGCAGGTCTCTTAGCTTCTTTAGAGCTTTATGAAGAGTATCTGACAAGGAATTTTTAAAGAAGATTATTATAAGATAATAATTGCCAAATCTTAGAATTTCAAATTCGGATTACAAACCCTAATAAGAATGATACATGATTTGGCGCTCTTTCTTTGATTCTAAATCCTCTTGTAGAGATTCGGACATTCATACATGTTCCGTATTTCGAGTGCATTCACAACACCATTCATTTTGACCGAATAGATCACGTCCAGTGGGGATATCTAAAGTCTAAAGTCTATGCGGACAACCCAGTTTTGTTTCTGGCCTTGGAACAAACCAACACGCGTGTCATCCGCCAGTTACCAGTCGAAATGCTCGAACGAGTAATAAAAAATTTGATCCAACGGATAGGCCGGATGTTTTTCGAATGATAATAAACATTCCCCATTAAATTTAAAGTAGTATCTATGTTTTTTTCTTAAAAAATTAGGGAACTTCGAAATACAAATACATCAAACTTTACAATCAGTGCATTTATTTTGTGTTTTCCGCCATAATCGTATTAATAATACTAAGCAATCGCCTTCTTTAAAGTAGAATTGTTTGGTATGTCCACAATCCAAGCTACTCCAAAATAAATATTTGGAACTTTCTTAAGTAGGTATGTTTCAAGGTTTGTCCACCATCCATTGCTTTCGCCTGTCTCTGGAAATAATAAGCCCGAGAAGTACTATACTCACATGGCAAATAAGTATATTTATTAAGTCTTCCATGCCTATTCATCGCAAATTACCAGCAAAATTACTATTATCTGATTAAATTTAGTTGCGTCTTAATATTTCATCAATTATTTTTCTGAACTCAATATACCAGGCGTTCGTAACAAAGACTACTGGACAATAGATATGCTCAGTTGGGTATTATAAACCATTTATTAAATATTTCATTACTAAAAATAATATTCCATTAACTTAACCTTGCATTAAGTTAGTTATTTATCGGTTTGAACCTTAACAGATAGAAAGCTTACATGATTAGTTTAAGGCCAGTAATATTTATTTTTTTGAAGCTCCTCCTAAACTACTGTCCAGATAGGTTAGGTCGTAGCGTTGAACTAAAATCGATGGATCTCACTGGGACACATATTTGTCCTTTGTTTCACACATAAACTTCTAAAAGTGGGTCACTAGATCTTCACAGATCGACGAAACGTTTTAAAGCTACCACAAAAGGCTACCTTGAGGCTACTTGTGAATACCTCTTATGAAGCCATTCTCAAAGTAAATAGACAGTCAGTGGCATGAAGATCAAGTAACTGCAACATTTGTATGGATTAATCGCCATTGCAGTTGCTGCATTACTTTGCAATCGTTACCTCTTTAACTGCTAATTTGAAAAGTACCCACACTCGACAGTAATCCTCTATTAACTTTGCCACACCAAGCAATTGTGGTCATTCGCTCAATGCACCGAACACCCTGCAATCACTGGCACGACGCTCTCCTTTCTGACGTTGTCATTGTTTCACTCGTTCGCTATGCAATGGGTGAAAGTTGAGGCTCTAACTGCATATTTGCAATAAACAAGCATGTGCGCACTGGTATGTATATGTGAGCTGGTGTTGCCGCATTAGAGTCGATTTTATTTTGCTTTTGTGCGACGACCTCAGCAGCGTCCAACAACAAAGTCATAGTTGCAATGTTATGTTTTTGTAGTTTCATTGTATTTGTCAACGCTGTCGGCGATCTCATTGCAGCGAGAGACTGCAAACTTGCATTGTTGCAAGTGAAGTATCAAGCAACCGACGGACGGACCGGCAGACTTACCAACCGACTAACAAAACATATTGCCGCAATCCTTCCTAGTTGTCTCATTCTAGCTGTAATCGTCGCCTGTAACATTGTTGCTACTGTTGTTGTATTATTTGTTGTTGCTGTCGTCAATTGCATTGTGTTTTTGTCGTCATCATTGTCGTTGTCCTGTTGCTGCCGCATTATCATTTGCCTTGCGCCGCACACATTCCGTTCGTTGCGCCACTTTGAGCTGCATTGTTCGGCATTGCATCGCATTGCAGCTGCAATTTTTGATTTAGCTCAGTTGTAGTTGTAGTTGTTGTAAGAAGCGTGGTGTTACTCAGAAGCTGTGAACATCACCACAGCAGCACGCTACTGTTGCTGCCACCAATAAGATTTATAATTATTGAAGTGTTTCACAGAGTGAGTGTGTTAGCCTACCCATGCGACATTTGTGGAATTAAATCCTCACACAAGTTACACAAAAAAAAACAGAGTAGAGAATGAGGGCAATGGGTGCTAGGAGGGTGTTGTCAAAAGCCGAGTATTAATGATTATAATGACTTTGAATTTAGAAATAAATTTATTCACAAAAAGTTACAACTTATTCCTACAAGAAAGATTTTTACCAAGTACTTCGTACATATTTGCGATGAGGTTCCATTCGAATTTAACATGGAAATAAGATGTCAAATTTTCGTTCTTTAAATACACACAATACCAGACAAACTGACAGGAATTAAAGGTGGCAAACGACAAGCGCCTGCATGTCTCTCATTACTCCAAAATGTTGTCGAAACTCTATTTCCACAACAAAACCAAGAGGAGGAAATTTATACCGCGAAGAAGTCGTAGATGCGCCAAAAATCATCGAGATGGAAGTCGTACAAGCTGCTGAAGGCTTTAAAAATAACAAAGCACCATGGCACCAAAGCTCTTAAAATTGCGATCAGATATGATTCAAGCCATTTTCGGACTTGTACACACGTTGCCTTCGTAAAGGAGGGTTTCCAAAAATTTGGAAAGTACAACGGCTAGTACTCCTACAGAATTACAACAAGCCAGTAGGAGAACCAAGCCCCTATGGACTACTCTGCATGATCGTACGATGGGCGAATAATCTGTACCCGTCTAGAAAATCACCTGAAAGGATATGGTGGTCTCTCTGAAAGCCAATACGGCTTTCGTAGAAAGCGTTCAACTCTTGATGCTATCAAGAAAGTTAGAGATATAGCACCAACCTATTTGCTGTACATCATACAAAGCTATCTGTCCGATAGGATCCTGCTCTAAGACCCTAACGAAGGACCAAAAAAGTATAGGGTAACGGGTGGTGTACTACAAGG